CAAATTTTCTTTGATTAAATGCAAAAAGCCCTTACCTCGTAAGTGGAAAAATAAATTCCAGACTTGGGACAAAGTTACATGACCTCCCTGAGTCCTAGTCTCCTTGTGGGCAAAGTAATGTGGATACTTTTCAGTATCTTGGAATCTATACATAAGATGACATGTGTAAATATTTAACACATTTGGGTGGCCTTGAGCATCTTTTCTTTTTCCTTATTTAAGACTCAGTCAGCTAATCAGTAACTGGAACTATACTTCTAAATGTTTTTATAGTTTTTTCCCAAGGATAAATGCAAAAAGCAATCATTTTATAACTCTGAGTATTTACTAAACATTTAAAGTGTTTAAGGCAGAAAAACAAAAGTTATCAATGCACGTCATTTGTCACATAGATGCCTACTAAGAACTGACTTGTTCATGGTACAGTGCTGGGTAAAGGAACAAGGAGAGGTCCCAAATATGGGTAAGTCCTGCTCATTGTCCTCAAGTCATCCCGATGGTTTAAGAAAAATAAGACACCTACTCAGTTCTAAGATGAAATGCCTTAAGTACCTTAAGAGAGGCACAAAGTGCTTTGTCACTTAAGAAAAGAGCAATTACTTCTGGCTACGAGAGATGAAGGAAGCTTTCTTGACTTTGACACTTAAGCTGTAAACAGAAGAATGGGAAGAATTTGAATGCATGGAAATGACTCAGACAGTCATTGAGGGAACAGTAAAAGCAAGATGCAAAGGTGAGAAAAAGCCATGTGCAAAGAATGTAAGGCGTTTGGGAGGGTCATGAAACACGTGGAGTGAGGTGAAGGAAAAGAGGCTTGATCAGTAACCACATATAGTACTTTCTTTAATTTTTATAGCAACAGTGTTATTAGGTGTGGTATTATTCACACTTTTAAGAGATGAGGAAATTGAGGTTCAGGGGATTACGTGACTTATCCAAAGATACTCAGCTAATTAAACCAGCATACTATGAATACAACAACAGATCTGGGTCTGAAGAGGTAAGATAGACAAGTGAACTAGGTTTATAATGGGGAGATTGGATTGCCAATCCAAAATCATAAGATTTTGGATCCTATTATATAGTCCAGGAATTGGCAAACTGCAGCCTCTGAGCCAGATCTGGCCCACTACCAGTATTTGTCAGTAAAATCTGTTAGAACAGGGCATTGCCTGGTTGTTGATATATTTGTCTGATGGCTACTTTCACACTGCAACAGCAGAATTAATTTATTGTCCAGTGCACAAGTAAGAAGGTTGAATTCATGGTCACTAACCTGTGCCTGTGGGCGGGGAGATGCGATTACTAAAAGTGTGTTTTAAGCAAATTGTATAACATTAGCTAGATAAAGAGCTAAGCTACTCAGCCACTTACAGATGCCCACAAGTATGTGATTAATATTAAGCAAGGTATTTTTTATTTGAAGCATGGAAGAAAAAGCATATTTTTTAAATGTCTGAGTTGATCTTTAAGTATTTACTATTTTGAAGATTTTTTTGAAGAAATTTTAAAAATAAAAATACTAAAGATAACATATCACACCCATGTTCCCACTACCTAGAATTATAACTATTAACATTCATCATATATTCTTTAAGATTTTAAATTTAAAAGTGAAGTATTACAGATAAAATGAAATTCTACTTGGCATGTTATTGTCGGTGTCATTCTCTTCCCAGATCTTTCTAGCAATAACCTCTGTCATGAAATTATTATCTTTCTAGTCTATTTTGAATACTTTTATATGTGTGTATCCGTATATAAATACAGATAGATGTTTGTATGTATGGGTTCAATTTAAAATTATACGCACACTGTAGCATACTGCCTACAAAGTAGCAATAGCAGCTTACATTTATTCCGTTGTTACCACCTGCCGGGAGCGGCACTGCTGTTACAGGACCCCACCACTTTGGCTCAGGGGTTTCCTCACTGTAGTCCCTTCTGTGGTTGCCAGAAAGATGTTACAGGAAAGCAGTCTCGATTCAGACCCCAAAGAGAGGGTTCTTGGATCTCACACAAGAAAGAATACAGGCGAGTCCGTAGAGTACAGGGAAGGCAAGTTTATCAGGAAAGCAAAGGAATAAAAGAATGGTTACTCCATAGGCAGAGCACCCTGAGAGCTGCTGGCTGCCCACTTTTATGGTTATTTTTTGATGATATGCTAAATAAGAGATAGATTATTCATGCCTCCCCTTTTTAAGATCATGTAGGGTAACTTCCCGACTATTGCCATGACATTTGTAAACTGTCTTAGCACTAATGGGAGTGTAGCAGTGAGAATGACCAGAGGTCACTACGTGGCCATCTTGGTTTTGGCCAGTTTGGGCCAACTTCTTTACTGCGTCCTATTTTATCAGCAAGGTCTTCATGACCTGTGTCTTGTGCTGACCTCCTGTCTCTCCCTGTGATTTAGAACGCCTTAGCCATCTGGGAATGTAGCCCACTAGGTTTCAGCCTCATTTTACCCAGCTTCTGTTCAAGATGGAGTTGGTCTGGTTCACATGCTTCTGACACTGTCTCAGTCCTCTCATTGATCCTATGTAGCATGCACTATTGCTGTCAAGTATTTTTTAGGAAATAAGGCACACAGAGAGTTCTCTTCTGTAGAGTCACACAGTTAATAAGTGATAGGGCTGAGAATTAATTCTGCAGTCAGACTTTGGAGCCTGAGCTCTTGACCATCATCATAGATGGCCTATTCACTGTGTCACTGCAGGATTCTTCACTCTCTCAATATCATGCCTCTGATACCTGTGCTGGTTGAATTCATAGATCTAGTTCATTCCTTCTCACTGTTTTACCCTATTCTGTTGAACGAATACCGTACATAAGCAGCATTGCACATTGCATGGTGGTTAAGACCTATGAAATGGGAATAGTCAAAGTTCCTGTCTCACAGAGTTGTTGTGAAAATTAAGTTTAATTCAAATATGGTAGATAGAACAGCACCTGGTACAGATTAAGTACCCAATAAATGTTGTTATTTGCTATTGTCATATATCTATTACCCATTGAACGTATTCATTAGGATGTCTGCAGTTTTTCATGATTGCGTATATTGCCAGAGTGAAAGCTCTGTGTCTGTTTATTATTCTTTTTGGTATCTCCCTACAAGAAAACTTTATGGCTTGTAGAGTGTACATGCTTCCAGTTTTACTTGATATTGCCAAACCCCGCTACACCAATTTCTTCTCCCTAGTGCACTGTGTGGCACCTCCCATTTCCCTGCATCCTCACAAACAGTTAATATTGTCCAATTATTTACGTTTGCCAACCTGATGGGTAAGAAATACTACATGCTGAATTAATGAATTTTTAATAAATTTTCTTAAGATAGAATTTACATATTGCAAAATTCACCCTTTTAAAGTGTACAATTTGGTACACATTAGTATCACTTCACTACACAGTAGTTTTTAGTATGTTCACAAGGATGTACAACCATTACCTCTATCTGATTTTAGAGGAAATCGTTGACTGGTTAGCAATAACTCCCCATTTTCCCCTGCATGGGTAAACCTATGGTTTTGCTAATCTACTTTCTATATGGATTTGCCTGTTCTGAACACTTCATATAAATGGAGTCGTGTGTTTTTGTGATTGGCTTCTTTCACTTAGCACAGCGGTTTTGAGGTACATCCATGTCGTAGCATGTATCAGCAAATTCATTCCTTTTTATGGCTCAATAATATTCCATTGTATGGATATACCGCATTTCATTTATCCATCAGGTGATGGAAATTTGGTTGCTTCTACTCTTGACTATCACAAATAATGGTTCTATAAGCATTCATATGCAAATTTTTATATAGACATCTTTTCAATTTTCTTAGTCATACATATATTTATGTACCTAGCAGTGGAATTGCTGGGTCATATGGTAATTCTATGCCTAACATTTTGGAAAATGGCCAAACTGTTTTCCAAAGCAGCTGTGTAATTCTACAATCACATCAGTATATGAGGGTTCCAATGTCTTCACATCTTCATCTCTAGTATTTGTTACTGTCTTTCTGATTCTAGCCATCCTAGTGGATGTGAAGTGGTATCCCATTGTGGTTTTGATTTGTGTTTCCTGATTACCAGTGATGTTGAGCATCTTTTTTACGTGCTTATTGACCATGTGTATGTCAGCTTTGGAGATATGTCTATTCAAATCCCTTGTCCATTTTTAGAGGAGGGGGTATAATTTGTCTTCTTATTTGAATTGTAAGAGTTCTTTATGTGTTCTGGACACAAGTCTCTATCAGGTATATGATTTAAAAATATTTTTCCCATTCTGGAGGCGGAGGTTGCAGTGAGCCAAGATCACGCCACTGCGCTGCAACCTGGGCGACAGAGCAAGACTCCATCTCAAAAAATATATATATATATAAAATTATATATTTATTATAAATATATTATGTATTATATATAATATATAAATATGTGTATGTGTTATATATAATATATAAATAAGTTTGCGTATTTTATATTATATATAATATATAAATATATTTTTTGAATGAGAAAAAAGATAACCTACAGAATGAAAAAGATGTATATTTATTTTTTCCCATTCTGTAGGTTATCACATCTTAATTGATGTGAAATGGCGAATTTTAATATTTGTGATTTCACATTTCCTCAGAACTTCATTCTTCAAAATCATCTCATTATCTGCTAAGTGGATCACAAGCCAGATCACACTGAAGTAAATAATGCTCTGTGCACATGGTATTCCGCCCGTCAGAAACTACCACATTGTTCACAAAAACAGTCTTCAGCTGGTGAAGAAAATTCACTTTTGATAAAGCAGAGAAGCCTTCACACCTAATTAGGATTTGAATTTAATAACAAAAAGCATTGAAAAAGCATTTCAGTATTTTCAAATTGCTGATGGATTAATTCAAAAGCATTTGGGTTTATGTTTAACCTGCCTTAACTCTTTCTTCTTTCCTTTTCTCTCTTCCTTTCTTTTCCCTGTCTCCCCTGTCTTTTCCCTATTTCTATTTCAGATTGAAAATGGCTCAGGAATCAGTCAGCAAGTTGACTTCAGAGAAGAAAGTGGAGACAAAGAAAATCAATCCCACTGCTAGCCTGGTGAGATATATTTTTCAACATAACCTAACAATTGTCATGAAAATGAAGTTGCGCCCAGGAAGGGCTAAAACTCAGAGAAGAAACATAGTATCCAGAGTCTCAGTTCCCATCCCAGAGTAGCATATGGTTTAAAAAAAAAAAAAAAAAAAGTATGTGTGGGTGGAGGTACAAAACATAGCTTTATATGTTTTTCCTGTAAACTCAACATAGGTCATTTCTGATAAACCAAATTTAGTCACTTGCCATTTCACATCCTTCCACACGCTACCCACAGTACAATCACCCTTATCTCAAAGTATCTTTCTCTCAAAATGTTTAAATATACTCATTCTCTTTAGTTCCTTTTCCCCATTAAAGAAAGAGGCAGGGATTCTCCTATTGATAGTTGGGAAATTTGAAGTGCAGAAAGATACAGGCTCCCCAGAGTCACTTGGCAAGTGGATAACAAAACCAGGACCAGATTCTGGGTCTCCTGACATGTCTCCCTGTGCCGGAAAGCAGCAGTCTCCCCAAGACTGCATCCTCTTCCGAAGTCCAGTTTTCAATAGAGATCACAGTGAATCTCCACCTAGGTGTTACAGACAATAGTCAGAAGAGCTACATGGTTACGATCCCAGGATGTTGAGAATGAAATGGCCTGGGTTCAGATCACAGCTCTGCCACTTAAATAGTTGTAAAACCTTAGTGAAGTTACTTTGTTTCTCTTCCATGAAAAGAGCATATTACTTTTCCTTTGGGGTGATTTTGAGAAAACTGAGAAAAAACATGTAAAATGCCTAACACATAATAAGAGCTCAATAAATATTAGTTGTTTTTCTTGTTGCTGTGAATTTCAGCTGCTTTGGTTGATCCCGCAATGGGGAATGGTGATGAGTGGGGAATGACGATGAGTGGGAAGTGGAAGCATCACCCTTCTATCTCGGATTTTTCAAACCCTGCCCTCTCTGGACCCTGATGTCCCACAACTACTTACTTTATCCTTTTAGATTATTAGTACTTTTTTGCTGGATGTTTCAAATCCTTTGAAAATCTAAGTGGGATCTAAGTTATAAAGTGAGATTATTTCTGTTGATTGACCATGATGTTTCTCCCAGCAACCCCATGAGCAGCTAAATGAATGTTGCATGAGGCTGATGAATGAGAAATGGAGAAGTCCGGGCTGCACAGCCTGGTCAGGTAAAGCGATGGTCGAGCACATAGCCCCTACCTAACCGGACATGTCCTCTGTGCCCATTTGATGGGATATTTATGACATTCATTTGTATGATTTTCAGTGGCAGTCGGCTGAACCCTGATTTCTATCTTCCTCTTTCATGAGCCTCTCCCTTTTCCTCCAGACCTTTTATTTGGGCTTCTATCCAGACTTTTACAGCTAAGCCTGTTCCCCCAAGGCAGAGAGAATGGGATCAGCCATGTAGACAAAAGGGAAACGGTGGGTTTACGACCTCCCCTGTGAACAAGCTCCCAGTTGTGATCCTGGGCTTGTGGGGGTTGCTTATTTTATTGTCTGTATGGGTGGGTGGAAATTAGGGAAGAGCTTGTAAGCTGATTCCTGATTCAGTTTCCCAAGTTAGGGATGGAATCCAAATTTAGGATGGGTGTCGACAAATCATCAACTTAAGTTTATATCTAGGCCAATTTAGTAATTCACTGCAACATCTTATCTCATAGCTCATCAGCAGCCAAGGATCCATTCTCAAAGGCTTCTCTCTGCATCTGCTCATTCTCCCTTTTCCACTTTAGCCTTCTATTTGCCCTTCTCTAAGAGCAGGTACACCATCCTTACCATACTCATGTGTTTACTTCCCTAATGTCACAGATACCATGAGGGTCCGTGTTTCTGTGCAGTGTGCTCCTGTTTATTTTTACATCTTCCCAGCAGATGTCCATGTTCTTCCCTTTAGAGGGCAATCCCTGAGGAGGAAGCTCAGCGAATGAAGAGCATAACATCCATGGCAAATCGGGAACTTCTGCCATTCTGCAGAGACTAAACCTGGTCATCCCCCATTTTGCATGGCTTTTCTTGAGTTCTGCCAAGTTGATCATTGGCAGATACATTGAACTTGGAAACAGTAATTTTTTTCATATCTTCTTGAGCATTCTCTTAATTCCATCAGTGGGCCAGAGGTGGGGACGGAAGGGGTCCTTGAGTAACACTACAAAGTTAGGGTCTTTGTCACAAAAGAAGAGAACAGAAAAGACCACCCTGGCACGGTAAAGGCCCGTGTTTTAGATGGATGTAGTTGGTAGATTGGCTGGTTATTGATTTCTTGTTTGTTTTCTGGTGCGTCAGGGTGATAGGTAGGGAGGGGCAGATAACTAAGAGCTTAGGGAAAGAGCAGTAGAGGTACTCTCGTTTCTAGGCCGTTTGGCACAATTCCGGAAACTCAGCATTCTAGACCAGAATTTGAGAAATGTATCAAAACTTGAGAAAGATGAAAGAAATGATATATTCATTTTTCTTCCTTAACAGAAAGAAAGACTGCGTCAGAAGGAAGCCAGTGTGACCACCAACTAAGAGGAAGACACATGGAAATGATGGCGCTGGAGATGGAGGACCGACCTTGCACGCATACTCTTTGTGACCACAGGGTTGCAGGACGTTCTTGAAAGATGTGTCACTAAATGTTTGTTTTGCTCATCTCTTTCTGAGGTCATCTGCAGAGAGTGCCCCATGCCTTCTTTAAGAAGTCCCTCATTCAGCCAGAGGAACAATGGAAAACTATTTAAGGGAACATTGCAGAAATATTTGATGACTGTTTCTTGTCGAAGCCCAAAGTCCACTCTGTTGTAAGACCAGAAGAAATACCACAATTTTTCCAAAATGTTTTTAAAAGCTGAGATTTCCAGCTTTATAACCAAAGCTTGGTATGTGTCACATTGTCACAGAGGAGAGAAAGGATCATTGAGGACAGTTGCCTTGGGAGAGTTCAAAGTCTTTGTCGTTACACACTGCTGTTTTGATTATTGGTCTTAGTTTTGATCCTGTTGCAGCAAAATCCTGCAGCATCTTTCTCTCCAATGTTGCAACTCACCAAAACTATTTTTGAAGAGATCCAAGAACACGTATTTTCCAGACTAGAAAAACGATTTTTTGTTGTTATGGTTTACGTAATGAAAAAGAGAAAAAACAGAATCGTACCTGGGTGGAGAGAGGGAGACATATAGCCATAAACTTCATCCTGGAGAACAAGTTACCATGCGAGGAGTTGACGTCAGTTGTTAAGTGAGGCCCATTCTTGTTTTTACATCAGTCCTTAGTGGTTTTCTGGGCCAGCAGAGATTCTGCATCCCAACTCCCTGGAGAAACTGTGATACCTGAGCAAGCATAGCCTTGGGGTCAGAGAACCTGCTTAGACAAGAGACCCAGCGGCAGAGCACCTTTCACATTTTGGACCGTTCATGAATGGGCGATGTGTTGACATGCAGCTGAGTTCTGCGTCATGTCCTGTGACTTTACAGCTGCACCCCCCGCCCGACCGTCCCCAGGAGGCAGTTTCCAGACAGGAGAGCAAATGCAACTCCCAGCCCCCGCTCACGACCTTGGCTGATAGGCATGTGAAGTAGGGTGAAGCAGGACTCTTTAATGTCAAAAAAAAAAAAAAGGGCAGAAAAAAGGCTCCTTACATCAAAATGAAAGAAGGTAATTACATTAATAGAAATCTTCAGGTGGAATGTTATTCATAGGCAGCTTTTTCTGACCCTGGCTCTTGAGTTACATAAGGAAACCACCTTGGACCTCTCTGACACTTTTGTCCGTAATCCACCTCTCTGAATTTATCTTGTGAGGGGTGAAGAAAGAGGACTGGAGATGAATGGAGAATATGTTCAAAGACTCATTTTAGGCCTTGAAGAAAGAGAGGCTGAGCTTTCTCCTCTAGTTGCTGGAGGACAGTCCAGAGATGAGCAGGAATCTTAAATTTCTTCCCAATCCAGCCATCACATGTGGCCTGCCCCTTGCCCCAGCATCTTCCCAGAACCCTTGGACTTGCCAGGTGCCTGAGCATCTTCCCAGGATATGCCTGCCAGCCAGCAGCCCCTCAGGAATGCTTCTATAATAGATCCAGTAATGAAAACAGCACCATATCCTAATCTAATGTCACCTTCGGGAATGAAGACTGTGGTCAGGATCAAATCAAGTCACAGAAGCCATATTCATGCAGGTGCTAACCGCCTCTTCTACTGGTGCAACTGAAAGGAATATGGTAACACGGTTGGATTTTTAAAATTCACAATGAAGGAATGAGACAAGCAAAATAGAAAAGCTGAGAAGGAACGTGCATGACTAAAAAGGCTTGAAGTTGCTTGTGAGCAAGAAGCTTTTTATGCTGCTTTCTTAGTCTCTCTTCGTTTTCACTTAACTCTGAAGACAACCAAAAGAACTGATCAATTAAAAACTATTCCACTTACAGCCATCCTATGCTCCTTCTAGTGTTATCATGCACAGGAAAAGTGCCAGTTTTACCCATGCCATAGAAATCAGCTCTGAGTTCTGTGGGGCCAGCAGACGTCTAAGTCCTTATAGGCTTGATGGTGAGCGCAGCAGCAGGTTTTCAGTGGAGTCACTGCTGTCCACTTTGGTCTCTAAATAGGATGCTCATGAGAAATCAGTGAAGGTAAGCAGGGCTGCCACTGTGGCCACGTAACCCTGCCAGGAACCAGTGCTGAAGAATAATAAGTGAGAAGGTTTCATCAGAGTTGGACAAATGCAGCCCACTTTGGATTTCATCCTAGTGAACAGACTAAAACTGCAGTAAAATACCTATTTCTACAAAGTAAGGTTTGCCTGCCTTGGTTGGGGAAACCTAGTGGTTTTGTCACGCTAGTCAATGTATTATGTTGGTGTTTTAAGACACCATGGCAGAACCTTCATTATTCTCACCTGTTCTGAACCCTGCGTCATATATCTGGGATGCCCCCTCGCAAGTCCACCAGTGTACCACATTGCTGACACGGCCTTCCTTTTTAACTCAGATTGATGCTCAGTAAAGGTCAATGACAGTTTGTTCAAGGAAGTTCATCTAGAATAATCTGGAGGCCTTGAAAATGATCTCTCTAAAATGCTGTCGGGCTTGTATTTCGGGCGGCAGGAGAGTCTGAACTTCCTGGAGAGGAGGTGATCGGGATGCCATTCGGCAGCTTGAGCACATCCAGCCAGCAGGCTTTAAGTGGCTGTTCTAGGTATAGCCCTCCCTGAACTAGAAAGGAGAGTAACCAGTGTTGCTAGCTGTGTCTAAGCAGACACTCACACCTGACTTACTAGTAACTAAGAACCCTTAACTTACAAACAACTTTGTCTCCTCCTAGGCAAAATTTATTAAATCTGAGGACACAGTTTGACAATAGTTCAGATTCTTGCACGAGCAATCGACAAGCATCAGAGCACGCAATATCATAAGTTACATAAATTGCACAAAGTATATCATAAATCACACTATAGATATGTTAGGTAAAAAGCATCAGGCCCATGAAGTATCAAAAACCAGGTTAGGAGGTGTGCTGTATGGCTTTCACTTCAAGAAGTGGCAGCTTATTGGGGAAAAAGGAGTAAGAAAAAGTGTGGCCAAGCAGAAGTGAATGTTTATGATGACAGTGGGGTGCCCAGAGGTCATAGGTGATGGCCCTACTGCCCAACAGTTGCCTTTTGAATCCTATGTTGATGATGGTGTCTTTCTGCACACTCACTGCAACTTACTCAGGAATTATGGAGAAAGATTATCTGAAATCTGAGAAGTGGAATAAGGAAACCCAGTGGTGCTATTACACCTTTAAATGTTCTAGCCAAAACAAATTGCCAGTATGGTTGAGGAATGGAATATCAGATGGCATATGTGGTCTCCCCTCCTCTCCCCTATCAAGGACAGTAGAAGCTGCAAACCTCTTCTCAGCCTCCTTCAGGCACCTCCTGTTTTCATAAGCACCATAAAGAATGGTGTTTCTTAAGTGAAAAGTTCAGATACTGCTGGTAAAGAAACTGGAAAAAACTGAAGGAAGGAATAAAATATGTTGGTAGTATTAACACCTCCAGTAAGATAAGTCATTGGTATGGTTTCTCTAAGGGACACAGTGAGATGTAGCAGAAGAAATACGTGTATTTTGGGTGAAGGTTTGCCTATTGACCTGGGATTGCACATTCTCTTTACATTATGCTGTCTGCAACAGAGAAATTTTCATTTGAATGATATTCTTCCTTTCTTGAAAGTTATATGTCCTCATTTCTATTTCTGCTTCTCCCTTGGCCAGTATCATTGCAACAGCACAGCAAACTGCACCAAGTCAGTGTGTGAAGGGGACTTTGCAATGCACGCTTGCAGGCTCTTTTTCCGGGAACCAGGCTGTAACATTGACGGGGGAACCTCTTCGCTCCCTGACATACAAAATTGGTCGATTTTATAGTACTCACCTCCACCCATAAAAACAACAAAGATAAAATCAATCTGAAGCTTGATATGATGAGAAGGAAGAAGTATAAAAATGTATAGCTTCCCCCCCATATCTAATCCAAATATTAAATACCTGATTTTATAAAGTGGTTTAAATTGTCTTTTTAAATTGCTAACAAGAAGCATCAGTTATATTTGAGCTTCATTTTTCTTTTATCCTGTCTGTTCTAATAAAAGTGGCCAAAAGGTGGCAAGGAAAGAAAAAGCTTCCACTTTTCAAAAATGTTTTCGTATTAGTTATTTTATCTTTAGGTACCCTACAACTGAAGAGAGTGGAGAGAATAAAGAAATGAACTTTCATTCATATCTGCTACTTTGTCTTCATAAAGAAGTCTGCAACACAGATGAAACCAGTCTGTGTGGCCAAGCTGATAGGATTTGAAAAGAGTGGATAATTTTTAGCCTTTCCAGAATGCAGATAACTTGTTGCATATATTTCCATTTTCCAGCTATAGAGAGAAACAATCTAGCTGCCTGGAAACTGTTATTAGTACAGAAGTGGCTTAAAGAAAACACCTTCGAATAGTCAACTCAGCAGATCTGTCTTCTTTAGACTTACATAATGGTACTCATATCTCCATTAGCGATTGCATCCAGGCATAACCAGGCTCAGTTACACAGCTTGTATGTGACCGGGAAGCCCATTTTGTGTCATTTCTGCACACCCGTCCTCTGTTGACACCTCATTAGAGACACTGCATTTTGGTTTCACAATTCTTCATCTCCCTTCCCAAGGAATGGGCACTCTACCAAACTCTTCCAGATCAGTGCTTTGTTGGGAAGTGATGAGTTTTAACATGTCCAATTTGAAGCCAATTCTGTATCCTTATTTGTTCCAAGACTCTTAACCAATACTGTGATATAAAGTTCGCATTTAGGAAACTTGGGTAGTTAACAACTTACTTGGAAATATGAAGATGTTAAAATGGCGGCTAGCTAACTCTGTCTCTTAAGCTACTGTGCAATTTCTACCAATGGAGAGATGAGGGAAGCAAATTAAGCTTCATTCAGTAGGTCTGCTGTCTGGTGGAACTTACGGAACTCATTTCCTCCTCTGTCCCCAGCCGTTCTCCTCACTACTCTGGTGATAACCAGGGGCATAGACCTTTTCTCTCTTACCCTTCTCTTCTCTGATAGGTTGGTTTCCTTCAGTCAACAGCTCACGTGAACTCCAGACTTTATTCTGTATTACATCTCTGAAGTTCTTGATCTGGGGAAGAGTGACTTTTACTCCATTTTTATATGAAGGTGGTAGATATAGCCATCAATTTATTTTTCTGCATTCCCTCTAACCTTATGTAACTATCTATTTTTAAATCTTCTCTTAAATATACTGAGAATCTCTAGTCTATCTCCTTTTCTAAAGGCTGATCCAACTACACTTGTGGGCCATTTTTCCAAGCTTTGCATGAAACTTGATAACATTGGACCAGCAAAATGCAAAAGAGACTATAGTTTCAGGCAGCAAATCACATCCAAAGAATTTGGCGTGAATTAACCTCTGCCACACTATAGCTATCACATAGGCTGAACATTTTCCTAAATTCTACCTGTGCAGACACTGAGGGGCTCTCTACCTTTGAAACTATGAGAATGTCTTAAATGAATATGAATATTTCTCTCCATCTACATAGTATGAGCTGCCAATGCATTATCTTATACTTAGTACATCAAGAAGGAAATCAGATGTTTTCAGGCACACATTGGCAATGGTTTGTTAACGTCCTTGGCAAGTAGTTTAAATTGTCTACTTTCCTTCGTTGTTCTCTTCAGGGACTTTCTTCCACTTTCCTGTCATGAAACTGCTGTATTTTTGATGGTTCAACTGGGTTCGCTTTCCAGATCTGTCTTCCCAAAATGAAAGGTTAGTCCCGTAGACCACTGGCTATTCAGGGAATGACTCTACTTCCCCATGACAAGGATGATAAGTGTTCAGGGATGAACCTGGAAACCCTTAGCATGGAGTTTGAATTCCAGATTTCTTTATAGGAGATGTATAAAAAGGAGTTTATAGCATACAAAAATTATACTGCTCTTCCCAATAAGGGACTAAAAGGCCATTTGAAATCTTTACACTTTAGATGTTTTTGTGAGTTACAAATATCTCCTCCTTTTTTCTCTCTTCATGCTAACTTGTCTGTAGGTAAAATCTTATTTCTTCATACATCGGGCCACAAGGCATAAAGAAGGTAACTCAGCCCCACTGAGATTGTGTTCTGCATAATCTTGAAAGGCTTGCATTCCTATTGAAAAATCCATGAGCGAGAGGGAAAGCGTAGTAACAATTCTCCTGTTTGTTCACAATGACACAAATAGGTTTTGGGGATCTACCTAAGGGATAGGTCTACAACAAAACTACTAATTTTATAATTCTGCAATTCTATAATTTCCTGAGGCGTAATATGACCCTACTGTCAGCTAGATGGCTAATCTTCAAAGAGTGTATGCATTAATAAAAAGGATTTCCCTTTAAAGAGCTAATCTAAAATACTTCTAAAAAGGCAGAAACTTTTAAAATTAGAAATTGGTTAATTTTTAATCTTTATTTTAATCTTTGGAGAAAACGTTGATTTATCATAGTCTTTTTATTTCATTGAGTTTTCATTTAGACTAGCATGGCAAGCAGGGTGGCCTTGGACTTTGATTTAGGGGATTGCGCTTTGGCCTGGAAAATAAGCACTGGCCTGCATGCCTAGAACCTAAGTGACGGCAGTCAGCATCCTCTTGTGTATCAGACCTAGCAGAAATGTAAATTATTTCAAGTACTTTAGTTTTCTTAGTGATACCCTGGACCCTGGAGGCAGCTTTCTAAAGTGTGTCTGATCCATGCAGTTATATGTCTTCATAGAGCTGGGGCCTTGTGAGGTTGCAAGCAATGGGAGGAGCAAGAAAAAAAGGATGCATGGAGGAGGAAAATTTGAACGAAGCTAATGCAATGTTTTGCTGATAGATTACGTTGTTAGGGAGCTGGTGATTTTTCGCCATGGTTGTATCCTGGACAGCTTTTTGTGGAAGTTCAAGACATCTGTATTAGGCAAATGTGAGTGCCCATGATCTTGTATTGATCAGTGCCAGACAATGTACTGGGAAAGCAGGTACCCCAGTGAAGCTGGTCTGTACTTGGTTTAACAGCTCCAACAATTTCGGATCCACGGGGCTGCTTGTCCATAGACCCTGTTTACTCCATGCCTGTTCAAAAGTCATTTTGACTTCTAGCTTTGTTTCACTTTCTCCTTTCAGTACTTCTGTTTCAGCTTCCTTTTCCTTCATATTCCATGGCTATTTTTTTTCTTTCTTTACAGTTTCTCCCAGACCCAGATTTTTTCACCTCTCTGCATCATAGACAACTGAATATCTCCCTTGGCCCCTCCTCCCTCCCCTCACACCCTGTGCTCCATCCATTCCTCAGCCGTTTGGACAGGGAGCCCCGCTGTCACCAAGGAGCCCATGTGAGACACACTGCTGTGACTGCTTCTTGTTAATGTCAGCATCACCTCATCACTTAAGCAAAAAGGAAAATCCATAAAAGAGGTGGAAAATACGTCTCTTTTTATTTTACTTTATTTTAAGAAGGTTGGGCAGGGTGGTGGGGGGTGTTGTTCTAGGCCTTCTCAAGTTTTCATAGATTTTACTTTAATTAAGGCCATTCTCTTGATAAATTTGTACATCAGAGCAGGTCACCAGCTATGATGCAGAAGGCCACATTTTTGAATCTCAAGCAACTCTGTGCTGCTGGACAAATTGACTTAATTCTGTGCAGGCAAACACTTTGAATCATAAGGCTTTTTATTGCCACTCCATTCTTACTACTACTCATGATTCAAACATCTACCCCTATTCTGAATCAGGATGTTGACACTTTTTGGTTATTTTCAGATGAACAGTAACTGCTACACTCTTGAAAGCACTTAAAGTGTAAGCGTGTCCTAAATAGCCATTTAACCTGGTAAAACATTGGCTTTTCTGTTTAGTTAAGTATTAGACCAATCTGTAGATACAATCTGAAAGGATTTTAGGCAGTCATGAAGACAATTGGGGAAAGGAGAAGGCCCTTTAAAAGACATGAAACCTTACGTGCTCTTGGATATTTGTAAGCATAATAAGCTCATTGGATTCAGGTATTTTCCCTTTGCGTTTTTAAAAATATGTATTTCTAATTTGTTTGCATATTTTGTCAAAGCTGAGAAATGCTCATGAGTTGAATTTATAAATGTCATTTGCAACCAAATGAAGTATTTATTTTTAAAAAGAAAGGGTGAAGGAACCAATACTGATTTGTACATAATAAAAATATGTGTGCGTATTATATATATATATATATTTTTTTTTTTTCCTCGACAGTACTTGGTCACCATATCAAGTGTATTTTTGTATATAATATATATTGATTAGAAAAATGTCAATTGTCTAGTCAAAAAATTCTCTGTGATAGATTATATTTATCCTAATCTGTTGATACCTCTGTTAATTTGTTTTAAGAGATAGAATTATATTTTTCGGAATTTACAGAGAATTGCATTCATGACTTTCAATTGTAAATATGCTAAGGGTATTTTAATAAATCTTGGTTTCATGTCCATCTGGTATGCAATGCAGATTTGTTTTCAGGAGGCATGTAAAGCAATCTCCCAGTAGTACTGTAATGTGGATAATACCTGTCATTTCTAACTTGTATTACCACTCAAGTACACTGTTACTTCTGAGCTGCAAGAGCTGGGTCTGAGGAAGTCTATCACTGGTATTTCCTTTTTTCTGCCATTTCTACCCTTTCAACTGTGGGCAACTTGGCCAGGCATTGAAGGCTAACAACCAACAGACAAAACCAGCCAGGCATTAGGCTTACCCAAAAGCAACACTACTTGAATATAAATTGCCCAAGGGACGGGGCACGAAGAAATTGGTGACTTCAGGCTATGGGTTGAAAATAATAAACTAGAGAAACAGAATAGAAACCTGATTGTATGTATTATCTTAACACAAGGTGCACATTATTTTCAAGGAATAATATGAAGCATGCAGGTGTTTTATAAACATAAAACCAAAACACTTGAAGCAAAACACTCTTCTATTTAAATACAAATGTAATTGTGTTCTTTAATTAATACATTTCTTTGGTGTTCCTGAATGCCATACACTCTAGAGTTCTAGATATTTGCTGCAGTATACCCTATTATGTATAGCAATGTTTAATGAACAGACAGTTATTATCTAGGAAGACATTTCACCACTACAAAATCTTCTAAATCATAGTCAATGAGCTGCAAAAAATCTTTGGACATTGGAGAAAATCTTTCAGAAAACTGCTGAAGTTAAGGGAATTGCTAAAAATCACAGTGTTGGTGAACTAGAACCCAGATTTCTTGACACTAAGGTCAAAACCCTTCCAACTGATGGAGTCATTCATCAAATTAGACTGCTCTCTCCTTCAAAATACTCTATCATGGAGAAATATTCCAGAACTATTTGAAAAGAAGAATCCAAAGGCTGCTAACATTTTTAAGAAACATTATTAGGGTTGTGTTCTGAATTACAACACCCATGTGAGGGTAGAGGCCTGGGTGTCATAAAGACTTTGGAAAAAATACCAGCACACCATAGGAAGAATCTCATTTCTGGTCTAACCAAGATTTATTCTCCCCTGCTTAGTTAATGAGTATACATTTTTGCCTAGTCTTTAAATAGTCTATGAAGCTGATGCTCCAACTAACATCTGTTTTTGTATGTTTTGTGTTCCTGTAACAGAATACCTGAGAATGGGCAATTTATAAACAGAAATCTGTTGTCTAACAGTTCTAGAGACTGAGAAGTCCAATATGGCACCAGCATCTGGCAAGGACCTTCTTGCTGCATCATCACATGGCAGAAGGCAAAAGGCCACAGAGGCAAGGGGGGCCCTAGTGTTTTTCATAACTGCATTAATCCCACCCATGAAGATGGAGCCCTCATAGCCTCATCACTTCTTAAAGGTCTCATGTCTTAATACTGTTACAATGGCAATTAAACTTTAACATGAATTTTAGAAGGGACATTCAAACCATAGCACAGGTTTTTAATCCCTGAGGCTAAATCTTCTCCCCTAGATCAGCTGGCCACTTTCACCTTGCTGTGATTGTCATTATGGAAATAAAAGACTTTACAGTTCTCCACTGGCCCTTCATGCACATTAGATGCCACTGAGTCCAAATCTTCTGAAGGTAATGTCTGCTTCATGCCCATCATTGTGTAATGATAAATAGTAGGAGAAAATAACTTTATTAGTTATTAATTGCTGTATAACAAAATACCCCAAAATTTTAGTGCATTAAAGCAACAATATTACTCATTTCTCTTGGCTTTTGTTGATCAAGAGTTTGAGAAGGGCTCAGCTGTACTGTTCTCACTTGGAGTGTCTCATAAGGTTGTAGCAATATGTTTATTGACATCTGTCATCTAAACCTCATAACATGTTTATCAACATATCTGTCAACATCTTAAAAAAATTATTAATATGAGTCTGTTATCATCTGAAAACTGGATGGCTTGAGTGGGACTGGAAGATACACTTTCCAGTTAGCTGACTCAGCTGGCAAGTTGGTGCTGGCTCTAAGCTGGAAGCCTCAGTGCCTCTCCACATGGCCCCGTCTTGAGTGGTCCAAAGTGAAACATGTAATGTTCTTTCTGACCAAAGCTCAGAAGCTGGTCAGTTTCATCATATTAAGCTATTTATAAATCATCTGTGCAGATTGGGGAAGTGAGGAACTAGACTCTACCTCTTGATGGAAGAATGTCAATGCCACATTGTAAGAGCATGTAAGATGGGATGTATATTGGTGAAACCATCTTTGGAAAATACAATCTGTCACAGCAGCTTGCCCCGTGTTTTTCTCTCTAGTCTTTCTCCTCCTTCCCTTGTTCTAATTTTTGTCTTAAAACTAGGTTTTAGATTTCTTTTTCAAAATTTTTCCCACTTTTCCCCAAATCTTCCCTCCCTCAATCTGCATATTGGAGCATAGATATGTTTGTCTTGCCTCTCTGGAATAGAGGCACTCTTTACCTTGAAGAAAGTGAAATGTATCCTAACTAGTGGAGGAAATAACTGACTTTATATTTTATAAGTGACTTTACAAACACTGATTGAGAAAAGAAGGACTCAAAGATGATCCTAGGATTTTACTTTAAAATCATAAGCCTGTATTGTTTATCATATGTCTAGGAAAGATGATCCCTGCTAAAGCTGGGTCTTGGCCAGTAAGTAAATGAAATCACACCTTTTCAGTGGCTTGAAATATTCCATTGACTATTATAATAATAGTATATATGTATTAATATAATGGAATATTATTCAGCCTTAAAAAAGAATGAAATTTCAACACATGCTACATGAATGAACCTTGAAGATGTGATACTAAGTGAAATAAGCCAGTCACAGAAGGACAAATATTGTGTGGCCCATGATATAGTTTGGCTGTGTCCTCACCCAAATCTCACCTTGAATTGTAATAATCTCCACATGTCAAGGACGGGGCCAGGTGGAGATAATTGAATCATGGGGGCGGTTCCCCCATACTGTTCTCATGGTAGTGAATAAGTCTCATGGGATCTGATGGTTTTATAAATGGGAGTTCCCCTGCATAAGCTTTCTTGCCTGCTGCCAGGTAAGATGTGCCTTTGCTCTTCCTTTGCCTTTCACCATGATTGTGAGGCCTCCCCCGCTATGTGGAACTGTTCCTTTAAAGAGTCCATTAAACCTCTTTTTCTTTATAAATTACCCAGGCCCGGGTGTTTCCTCATGCAGTGTGAAAATGGACTAATACAGTCCACTTACGTGTAGTACCTAGAGTAATCAAAATTGTAGAGACAAAGTAGAATGGCGGTTTCCAGGGGCTGGAGGAAGAGGGAATAGGGAATTACTGTTTCATAGGTGTGGAGTCTCAGTTTGGGAAGATGACAAAGTTCTGGAGATGGATGGTGGTGATGGCTGAACAACCATGTGAATGTATTTAATGCCTCTGAACTGTACACTTTAAAATGGTGAAGTGGTAGGTTTTATGTATATTTTACCACAATAAAAAAAATAGTGTATACATATGTATTAAGGGCTTCCTATATGCCAGCTCGTCTATTAAGCATTTTATATGTATTAATTTAATATGCATAATAATATTACAAAGTAAAGAATACTACCATTTCTATTTTGCAGATTTTAAAAGTGAGTTTTGGAGAATTGAATAACTTTCCCATGCAGTCGGTAAGTGGCTAAAACAGAATTCAGACAATCTAAAGAAACATTCTCAACCACGATTCTGTCTCTGTCTCTAAGGTCACAAAAATTGAATTAGCTAATTCAGGAGAAAGAAGAATGTATAGACAAACATTTTGAGGTCTTGTCACAGGGGTGGTCTTATAATTTCATTTTTGAGAGATAGTAAAAATGTAGCATCTAACAGGATGCTTCTTTCTCAGTCATTTTGGTCTTTAACCTTGGCTTACTTTTTGTCAAACACCTAGCCCAAGAGCATTGAAGCCACCAACACTTCTGTAAAAGGCAAAGGAACTAACAGAATACAGTTGTATACATATATGCTTCAAGGAACAGCTCATATACATCTGCCAACACTTCCATATACATCTTCCTTCTATAGGTGGGGTGAAGCAGGGCATAATACAGACAAAAAGTGAGCAGGAGCTGGTGAGAAGCACTTGAGGGACACTATGAGACTAAGAGGAGCAGCCATCTAATCCACCGTTGAGTTGTTATCCTAAAGTAGCCTTATAGTGAATCAGTCTGCAAATATATCTAACAAAGTAGAACAAGCCATGAAAAAAAAAATGTTTAAAGAAAATTGGATCATACACTACCCAGAATTTCCCAGTACCATCTACCAATATTGTGGCTATGTCATTGCTTGATCTGAAGCCAAAATGAGACCCAGTTGGAGCTGATTCAGGGTTATTTTGAAGATATTTGCCACTGAAATTAAATATTCTGTTGAAAGAACCACAACAGATAGTTGTCCTCAATTTTCTTACGCTGGCCTGAAATAGAAGGAAAGAGAAAAATCCTTCAAGAATGAAAATGCCTTCCCTCATACTTCAAGTTTTAGAAAACATAAGAGTTACCAGATTATTCAGTCACTTTGCCTGACCTTCTAAGACTTCCAGCCTAGTTCCAAAGATCAAAATGGTTTAGCTACCTCTGGGAAACCATTGCATTTGGGGGGGTTTGTCCCACAGAAGAATTTTGGCCTAAGTCGTGGGAAGAGAGTGCTGATTTACAAAGTGAAAACACCTCTGCTCTTTAGCTTCTGCTTCTGATTTAGTGTGAGAGATAGGAGAACATGAAGGACCCCACCAAGGGCTCTCCCAGTGGCCCATTATAAGCCTCTCCAAAGAGGTCCTTTCTGATATAAGAGCCCCCTCATCTCACTGGATCCCCATGTAAAATTTAGTGGTAACTTAGAGAAAAATGGTCTCCTAAAATACACATTTTTATTGATATGTCCTCTAATGAGAAGTCATGACCCTAAGAAAACTGTAGGGGCAGCACAACATAAGGAAAGAACATGGCCTTTGTGATCAGACCCAATCTTATATCCCAGC